ATTATTATTAGGGTTTGTGGGACATATTTGAACTTGTAGAGTAGAACACAAGGTGGCAGCATTGGGCTGCGTGTGTTCTGGAAACCAACATGTTTGCCCTGACTGAAGTTGCAACAGAACCGAGATGACTCAGTTCATGCATTTTTAATGATGCACCAAGAAAACAGGGTAGCACGGGACCATCGGACGTTTCAGTTCTTATTGAACTTGTAACACCTAATATACTTGTGTTTTTAGACATGTATTTCATGTGCAAGAATACACACATTAGTTGTAAAGTTATTTAGAGCAGAGCACCGAGCCTGGAGACGTGCACGCGCTTTCATCTCGGCCGACAACTTTACTTCCGGCTGCCTGTCAAAAAAAGTGTCAAACTGAGCGCGAGGGCTGGTTCTCGTGCCGCTCCGCTATTCAGGAAGTCCAGACCTACTGACAGCACTTCGCGAAGTCACGCCGACATCTCCAGAGTCGGACTAAATACTCATGAAGTACTCGTGTTTATTACTCAGGACGAGTTTTACAAAGAGGTGAGTACCTGTTTTATTTTATTTTATTTCTTTTATCCCCCACGTCGTTGTGCGGCTGTCACCGTTTGGCCCCCCTCCCTCCCTCCTCCCGCCCCGGATTGACAGTTAACAAGCTTAAGCGTCGCGCTCTCAAACTGAAATGACACTTCCTCTTGTGTCAGCGGCTAAAAGCTACCGTAGCTACATGTCAGCGCTGTGAAAGTGGGGGGTTAAAAAAAGGTGCCTTTGAGTTTTGGAACGGTGAATTGGACGTTTTTGTTGTTGTTGTTGTTGTCTCAACGCCACTCTCTCTTAAAGGTGGTAACAGACACCAGCATCAGCTCGCGCCGGGCTTTAAGTGCGTAGGTTTGCTCATATAAACGAGGAACACGTCCCCCCCTCACCACCTGCTTTACGACGAATTTTTTGGATGTTTACGCTGAGAAGTGACTGAGAAGAAGGAGCTTTTTTTCTGCTTTGGTTTGCTCCTCTTTTTGAGAGACGGGGGGTGAGTACGCGACGGGTGACAGGTTGTTGTGGGGGCAGGGGGGCTGTGAAAGAGGCGATGGGATGCTGTGTAAACTTGTCGTCTGTGTGTCGTTTTTTTTTTAGCTTTGTCATGCAGCGTGGGGGGTTCAGTCTTTGCGTGTGTGTGTGTAAAACATCCCATAATGATGGTACCGTCCACTGAATTGCTTTGTTGTGAGTGGGATTTTACTATCAACGCGCACAGTCACAATGGCTGTTCAGACGTCCACGCACGACCCTGTCTCCTTATTTATTTTAGTTTTAGGCGAGCATATTTTTATATTCATAGTGATGTTGCATTAATTCACTACAAACAAAGAAAACAAAAAACGCACGTCATTTGTTTCCC